CTATTTTATGTTAAAACTTAAACAGTAGGCACCACCATTTACTTCACGCTAATTCAGTTCATAAAATGAAATTTATGGTGTTAAATCTTCTGTTTGGGATGTAATGAGATATTGGAAAAGGAGGTATTTGAAATAAATAGTACATTTCAAAACGTAAATTCTCTGAAAAAAAAAAATGTTTGCTGATATTCTCTTATTTAAAGGTATGAGTGATTTTTCTGTGTAAACATTTCATAACAACAAAAGTTAAGAAATTTTTAGTTGAGAAATTCAACCAATCACCTTTTCACCTTGATTAACGCTATCTATGTACTTTTTTCTTTACATTAGTACTTTAATCATATTTATACGAATAAGAGAAAATCTATACAGACAATAGCAGTCATTATTCGTACTCGAGTGGAACATTATAAGTTTATCCGAAATTTTTCAAAAAATGTTATGATAGATTTTGATGAGCCATAAATTCTTTCTAATGCAATTTCTTAAAAAAAAAGGTCTTTCATTCTATAACACATAGAAATCTTTCATGATTCAATCCATCAAAAACATATTTGTTCTACAATTTGAACAACGATTCAAAAATTTTAAATTTCCCAACCACTCTGTCTAAGTGGCCTAGTGTGTATCGAATTCAAAAACATTTTATGAGCGAAATTTTATTTTCTTCGACTAGAAGGTAATTTATTTAGTATTTGTTTTACATTTTGGTGTCTCTTTCCGTAAAATATTTATCTTCATTATTACAGTTTGAAATAGGTTCTCAAATCTTATAACTGTTTGCGTTTTAAAGTGATTGGGGAAGGTTAAAACTTCCACTATCCTTCCACAATAGCCTTAATCCTAATTCTAAATTTTATGAAAATTTAATAGGTTTAAAAAAATAATAGAGTATTAGGGTGACCTTTCGGTTTTCAGGGTGAAATAAAAGTTATTCCATTGTAGACATAAAGTTTATTTTAATCTACAACATATTGACCATTATTTATTATGACTTTCCCCTATATTTTCCCCTAACTGCATAATACCATGTTCATAGAATATCTGGAGTTATTAACGGATCCAAATAGTTTTTTATGTCCTCTTCATTTTGGAATTTCATTCATAGAGTTCTGCACAAACAGAAATAAGTGGTAGTCACTTGTTGCTTGGTCTGGTGAATAAGGAAGGTGGGGCAAAAGGTATCATCCAAGGCTCAATGATTTATTGCGAGTAATTAATGAGGTGTGGGACCTAACTACTGGCCGCTAAATGGGATAACAAAGGTTTAATCGTTGTCTTGGTGGAACACAACATAGTTCAGATCATTCATAACTCTTCAGGATGTTCTCCAGATTCGATGTTACTATATCTTCTGGAAAGCTGAATTATTGCTTTCCGAAGCCATATGAACGTTTTTTTTTTTTTTAATTTAATGACTACATAAGGAATAAATAAACAAAAACTCCTTATAGGTTTTTATTTTTTATTTCCATTTGTGGTGTGTTTGCGAACCTCCTGTTGATGTCATTTTGTGTAGCCCTAAATTCCTACTAAATTTCTGTTAGATATCTAAAGTCGTATTGAAATTATAACATGTTTTGTGATTTTCCAAAAAAAAAATCATGTGAGGGACAAACAGGGGACATTAAGCCTGGAAACATAGTCGATCATGTGTAAATAGTTTTCTACGTTTGTATGGGACACACTTGGGCCATAACAACCTCTCGCACTGATTGAGTGGGATTTTGAGGAACAATGGCCTTAATATTGCTCGTTTCAATTTCATGTGGGCGACCGGACCGTTGAGCATTATTGATGTCTAAATTTCCTGAATGAATTTTGGCAAACCAATTTTGACAGGTGCGTTCGGTTAAGGCATCATCTCCATAAACACCGCAAACATTTCTATGAGCTTCTGCGAAACGCTTACCTTTTTTAAAATAACACACCAAAATATGCCGATAATGAATGATATTTTCTTCCATATTCACAGTGCAATAACAAACACAATACTAAGCTAGTTTCAAGAAGAGTTAACAGATATATTTATTGACATATTACAAACAGAATAAGAAATCCACCTATGCGATTAATTCATCATATAAGAAGTGTATCATAGTGATATAAAAACCGAAAGGACTTATTTGCCAATTCAATAAATATGGGAATAACAAAGGGTAAACTACAATTCTCAACAGAGCTTAACCTTTCATATTTTTTTTTCTAATAATAATTTTCAGTGGCTAATTGGAAGAAAATATCATAAAACACAAAATGTTAACAATTTTAAAATTAAGATATTCTTTCGACGAATAATATCGATTAAAATAATAAAATAAAATAATATTTATGCTTGAACTTTTAGTTCCATATTATGTAATTATTATAAATCTATATATCTAACATTTATTAAGTCAGTCATTATTTCAATCTTTGTTACCTTCAAAATTTTCGCTCAATAATGTTGATTTCAATAATCAAATTAATTTTTATTGAAAATGTATTAAAATATAAAACATAATATTCTTAAAATAACAGAAACGCGTAAAGCTATCGATTTACTTTTTGATTCATTCGATTTAGAATTAGAGAATACATGTAAAATGGCCTCTTTATCGGAGTCTTAAAGTCGTATGTCTAAGGTGGGCGAAGTTTTTTTTTTCCGAAAATAAGGTGTTTTGCACCACTGCGTAGCACACTGCGATGAAAGATCAGTTTTCGTTGACATGGACATAGAATTCGTGAATGATGTCGGATTAACTTGATATTTAGTACACTTATGTTTTGAAGATCAAGGAGTACGAAAATGACATTAAAATAAGAAAACTTCCACGAAAAACAAAAAACAAAAATTGAATACTTAATAGTTGACCGTTGTATTATTAAGGAAGGAGATGATCCGGGGTGGCGGTCATAAATAGACTAAATAGTGTCAATAAAATAGTTTTACCACTATTTAGTCTATTTATGACCAAAACTCCGGACCATCTCCTTCCTTAAAAAAAATAAATAAAAATACATGTTTGTTTGTTTAAACCTGGAAACTTTTAATTTCGAAAATAATAGAGACCTCATAATTTTAGATACCTATTTATAACAACTGTCTATATTAATACATACAACCATTATTTTTTATTTTATTTTTTTTATTTTATTTTTTAATTTAAAAACACATTAAATCACACAATATAATTATAATATATGTATATGTAATAACTTAAAAAGTGTATCGTTTATTAGTTATAAATATTCATTTTATTTTATTTTTACTACACAATTTAATAACCATCGATAATGATATTTTGAACACCATCGATACTTCCTCGCGTTTTCCAATGAAAAAACTATATAATTTTTTCATCAAGTTCAAAGATTATAATTATTACAACTGATGCAGATCAAGTCATAGAGGTTCAACCAAATACTCTCAGATTCAATTTACCGTTATGAAATTAAAACGACATTAAAAGACTAAGGGTTAGAGATTGTAAACAATTATATTTTATTACTAACAGGCAGTAATCTGATTGAAACAAGTAAATAAAAGTTGTTTTTTCCCTTCAGGCCGTCTTATACGGGTGCCCATTGACCCCACTTTTTATTTAATTTTCAAATGTAATTCATTTAACGGTCTTGGGTTTGTTTATTTATTTAGATAACAGCAAATATTAAGTATAGTTATATACAGTCAAAAGAACGACATAAAAGTTTATTTCTTACATAGGTTGACAAAATTAAAATTTTTAAACAATGAAAACGAAGATTTAATATTTGATGTAAATTTTGTTTATTGTTTTGGTTTGAAATATTTTCAACACAAATAACTACAGAACTTTATTTTCCTTATGTTCAATACAATTCATAAAACTAAATTTGAGAGCATGTCTAGTTATAGGATATATTAGTACATACCTACATATTGTTCGAACATTTATACATACAAAAAAAATATTAAATATATTTTAACTGCCTTCAGGCGGTTCATAGCTGTTTAAATTAATTCGAATTTATCAATAAAAATGACTGCTAAAAAGTTGAAGTAGGAATTAATATTCCGGAGGATATCGGAGGTTTTTTTAAATCGCAGTATTTGTAAAAATTTTATTTAAAAACACCTATTTTATTAAAACAAAAAAGAAAAAATATTGTAAGTAGAACAAGTTTTAGAAATGATTATATTTGTTTAAATTATATAGAATGACATTAAAAAGTGTTATAAAGTTTCAAGAAAAATTATCAACCATCAGTTCGAACCAAGCGATTCTACAAATTAACTAGGTTTTCAATTGAACTATTTATTAAACAGTATAAAATGTTCATTCTGCCAACTAAAAATATTCTCATTTTATTTTAGTCTTATAAGCTTTGGGCCAATTTCGTGGCTTACTAACATCCATTGTATGTTAAAATATATATAAAAAGCGCATAACCTGAAATGTTAGACCTCAAATTTTGAGAAGGGAGAGATTTTTGGACCATTACATTGGTTCATTATTGAAAATAATTAGCCGAAACGAATACTATGTTGTATTTAATTTTAATCCTAAATTTAATTTAATGTTATTCGAACATTAAAATTATTCATTAAACGAAAAAAAACAACACGTATTTCTATTTTTATACATTCGATTTTTAGTTCGACTTTTAATGCTTGCTTGCTTTTAAAGAGAATAACAATGTTTAAATAATATTTTTGGTTTGTATTTCTGTAAATGTCTGATGTCAAACTTGACCACCAGAAACCCTCAAAACCGCACTTTCTTATAAAATTACAGATATAGGTTATTGCAGTGTGACTAGCGATTTACATTATAGTAGCCAGTATTATTAATTTGGTTTATCTTCGGACTAAGATCAGACTTCTAGATTTATTTATTTGTTAACTCATACAAGCTGTTATATGATACGTTAAAGTTTATTATATAATTTTTTTTTGGTATACGAATACATGGACACTTGCATAAATAATAATGGTGGTAAATAAATAACTGATGATATTTATCTCATTTTTTTCTTTTTTAGTGTGCATACTCGCACGCTTCGGAAAGGCTATTTGCGCTCCATATGACATCAAAACAAATTACACGGTTGGCATTACTGGAGCTTACCCTGGCACCCTCTACTTCCATCTCATCTGGATCGGCGCCTCCTCCCCTCTCCCTTCCGATATTAATGGAGTACAGTGCGAGGAGACTGTACGAGGATAAAACAAGAGAGCCGCTTGGGAGATATAAATGGTGGGTCAGGTGAGGAGCCTTACCGTCGTCCTGAGAAATGGTCCTCAGCGGCACCTTGGTCATTCCTTAGCCGGCGGAATCTGCAGAAGTGGCAGTCCTTATTAATGCCTTGCTGCAGGCAGGAGTCGGCGGGCATATTATCTCGGTTGGTGTTTTCGGAAGATGGAGAGTACGGAGCATTCGGAATGTTCAAGATTTGGATTTAACAAATGCCCTCCAAGTACATTTGGCTCTAATGAACGTAATATCAAGGATTTTTACTATCTCAAGCTAAATATCCTTTATAAAGGACGGAAAATCTTCAAGTAGACAAATACAAGGAGTAATATTAAAATATTATTATAAATTATAGACTTTAAATCTAATGCTGTAGTATTGAACCCTTTTCCGGCTCTCAGGAGCGATGGATTTTGATTAATAAAAAAACCACTGCTGCTTAAAACCCCGTATGTCAAAAATGGCCACATAGAGGAAAAATAGATTAGTAAGAATATTTCAAAACTATGATGGTTTCATAGTCAAAGAATCTAGGCCGGAAATATTTTATTTTAAAGATTTTGACATCAAGTCCTTAAAGATTCCGTCATTAAGACCCGGTTTTGTTCCTTTGGGTTATCCGGACTTCGTTTTAAAGCCCAGTAATGTCCCGTCATCGAGATAAATTGTAATTCTTGCTGAATGTTTATTAGGTGGTTGCATAATTATCACGTATTTGAGTTTTAAAAATTAAAATATTGTTTTTTCTGTTAGTCCTTGACGAACTAAAGATCTACTGAAAAGGTTGGAAGAGAATATCTCTATGTTCTCTTGAGCAACTTCGGATAAAATAGAAACATTTTGGTATAGGTATTTAATAAATAAAAAAGAAATCCAGGTATGGTATTCTGTACTCTTGAGTAATAGACATCTATACTCTTTAGGCTCAACTAAGAGAACTAAGTCTCCAATTCACTACAATGAGAAAAAAAAAGATCCTGAAGGAATGCATAAATTGATTAGTGTAAGTTATTGCCTAACTATTTAAATAGAGGGATATTTTTCAATGAAACAATCTAATCACTTATTAAGTAAGTTCTTCCTTTAAATTTTGTGTGTTGAATAGGCTAGTATAAATTTGAATACAGTATTTTTTTTCTATACCTTCAAGTATCGAATTTGACCAAAATCCTGTTTAGATTACTTTTTTAATTTCCCATTAAATATGTATTTCCCTCCTATAAATTATTACAAGAATTCTAAGTTGAATGAAAAAGTAGTGTTTTCCCCATTTATAGTAATCCTATTGAAGGTTCCAGCATTCCTCAATTTCAGAAATTTCATGCTATAAGATATATTATCTATAATAATGATTTTGATTTTTTATTGGCCGAAATCCTTATGCTAATACCGCAAAAAAAATTTTAAACGAATATACTTACCTTTATCCGATGTGCCAATTGTTACGAATATTTTTAATGTATTTTTTAAACCATCCTCTTATTTTTTATCATGGTTAAGGAGCTATATTTCTTCAATTAACGATAAAAAGTTTGATTATCCAAAAAAGAGACCATGTTTATAGATATATTAGCCTTTAAAACTATTAATTATTATTAAATTTTAAAAGTTATTATGAATTAATTATGAATGAATTTTAGGTAGGAATCTTTGTATTTTTTTTTTCAAATTAATTTTGGTTATTTGTAATCATTAAAATATTAGTCTAGGGTATTGCAATTATTTTAAATTAGCATATTTATTTACAGCATAAAATCGTTTTCTCTATTAAAATGATATTACCTCAATTGATAATCATGTCACATATCTCTGATTCATAAATAAGTAAAAGAGGTATTAAACTGAATTAAAAATATTGGATTTATCCAGCTGTGGACGTGGCGGTGCCTGGACAAGCCGGAGAAATAAGAAATAAATGCCATGGCACTGTTTCACTTTCAGATTTATATTATCTCTTTAGGCATTTATAATTTACAACCGGGAACATTTATGTTTCATCGGAGGGAGCCATTATCTTCTATCCGGTAAATGAGATTAAGTGGCTATCATTTGAAGCCCTATCTTGGCTTTTTATCTTGTCGAAGCTGTATTTTTTATTTCATTTCGATAGTTTGCTATTAATTAATGCGCCCATGAAGCGCCATCTGTAAACGGAACAAAAATTATTTCCAATGATTGGAAATCTGATCCGCACGGTGGTTCCGAAATAGCGTTTTTTTTTTTTCGTTCTTTTTTTTGAGGAAGGAAGAGGCAGAAAACTATTCGTGGTATAGATCTTTTTAGGAAACGTTATGCTAAAAAAAAAAAAACTATGAACGAGGCTTTAGAAATCCAAACCTTCAATACTACAATTCTTTCACCCACACACTCGCCCAAATCATATCATCGATTCATTACAAAAAGTCACATAGTGCATTTTTGATGGAGTTGAACTGTTTCCTGAATTTCGGCCTTATTTATCGATGAAAAAAACACAAAGCGAACTAAATCTAGTTACAATAAGTCCACAATTTTCTGATTTTACACTGGAAACAGTCATCGAAATTCTTAATAATTTAAAATTATGAAATTCCGCTTAATGACTCTTTACAATAAACTGACTTTATTCAATTTGGAGTTTGATTTCTTTTCCCTCTTTCTGCTATACTGCATTTATCAATCTTAACTGGAACTAAAAATGGTGGAATATAGTTATAATTTATCATCTAAGATTAATACAATAATATTAAATCTAATAGAAAATAGCAATTGTTATTTTAAAAAATTAATTTTGACAATGAATTATGTTATAAAATTTAAGATAATAAAAACTATGTTGACCAGTTTAGCGTGAGAAAGCATAAGTTTTAAATTTTAAAATAGATGAAACTTTTCCGTAGTATTTATTCAGATTTACTAATTATAATTTATATTTATTTTGCTTTATTCATCGTGTTTCTATTATTCCTTTAAATTTACTGTGAATTTTAACTTTACAGAAATACTGACAACCATTGAGTTTGCTGTCGAGAAGTTGAATAATAAAACAATGATAGGCTTGAGGAAGAGGATTTAGTTTTTACATTTAAACCAAGTGATCCCTTATCCAGCTTCTTCTAATCCTCCTAAAGAAATTGTGAGGCATTTTTATTTTGGCCATACCTTAAATCAGTGTTATTAGTTCCAAGTAATTTATCATGAAGTCGTTTGTAAAGTAATGTTGGTGATTTTTCATAGAACTTTGTTATAGTTCCGAAAATTTTAGATTTTTGTTTTCCACCGTTAGCTCCCATTGACAGTCGAAAGATTTCTAAGGCAATTGTTGTAATTCTTTGTCAAGTTTGTTGACAGTCCGTTTGTCAGATTATTTATTTAGGTAAAATTGCGAAAGTTAAAGTGATAAGTGAAAATTATGTAATGTGTGCACCGTGTACCAGATGTTTTGCGATCATTCCAACGATTAAAATCTTGTTGAGTTTTTCTATTGGGTTTTCTTAACATAGAAACGAAGCCAATAGCTATAAAATTTAGTTCCTCTCGGAATACCAACTTAGCTTGTAGTAATTAATTTTTTTCTGGCGCATACTTAGACTTTCTTCCATGTTACCAGAAATTCCCTCCTATAGAGTTAGCGAGGAAAAAAAAGGGTATACAAAAAAGAAATAGTTTCCCATCGGATCTGCAATTGGAGTCAAAACGTGATTTCGGTTTAAAAGACAACTACGTTGAACCACGTGCCTGCCATGCTAACGATATTGCCCCAACGGCATGGCTCTCCAATTACTGAGTAATTGTCCTGCGCAGGCTTGGCATCGACGAGCGGGCCGATGAAGTTGCCTTTGTACGTGCGCTCCTCTATCAGTTTTAGTGGCTATTCAGTAAACCGAATGCTTGCCCGACAAACGGCCAAATTGGATCCATCGTTTGATGTTCTCAACTATTAACGGCTACTATAATTGGTTCGCCATTCCGATTTCCGTCTTGAAATCGCACGTTTCAGAAACCATTTAACAAACAATTAATCATATAATATCTCTTCATTTCTGTCAATTTTTTATGGAGACTTATTTTTTATTTTGATGTAGTTTGCTTTTAGAAATAAATAATACATTAAGCCTTACTAGCCATAAAATTGACGTATGACTGGCCTCGTATCAAATACGGGCGTCTATCATTTTCAAAAAGTGAATAAAAAGTCAATTTTTGTTTTATTGGTTCAATTGTTTGAATTGGTTTAAATTGAAACAATGTTACAAAAATTGGATTTTTCTCAACATTTTAAAAATGACGGATGTTCGTCTTTGGCATGAGGCACTTATATAAGGATACCGTATTATGTTGAATCAACTTGTAAGTGAAAATCATTCCGTTTGGTTTATTATTTTCTATAACAAACTTTTTAACTGACAAAAAAGACAAACGTTATCTCCCTTAGATTTCTAATGTTTTACGTTTCATGATACGTACAATACAAAAATTGAATATAAAAATTCTACCGTCCGACTTTAGCTTTCTCTGGATTTTCCCCATGACTGCTTGACCGATTCATTTGAGATTTCGTGTCAATGTCAGAGATAACATAAGGATGAGGTCCTTTACATCTAAGATGGTTACCAAAAAACCTGTGTCGCTATAAACCTACAAAAACATGTGTTTTAAAAGATCTATTAATTTTAATGATACTTGCCTAAAATCTTCTCATCGAAGACCTTTAAATTTATGTATATAACGTACTTCCTCGAAAAGGACCTTGAATAAAATTAGCTTTTCGAATAATTAAGTATTCTAAGGGTATTAAATTTAAGGGAAAAGTTACATTGAGATTATGCACTATTATTAAGACATAGCGGTTTTAAAATATTTTGATTCACTATTTTATATTAGTAATCGACCAATAAAAGAAGATTAGCTCACACCAAATTCGTGGTTTTTCGAGGCAATAGGAAGGTAATTTTATCTGCACCATTTTATTTTTCTGTTATCCAGATTTAGCTTTTTCTAATTCCATTGACCGATCCGGTAACCAATCTGTTGAGCAAAACGTTTTCCCCTTTTCTTCGTCAAACAGAAAAAGTAGTCTAAAGCTTGAAAAAACAATTAATTGTTTAGCTACTGTTTAAGATTCTTTTACGTCCGCGCAAAAAAATAACTAAGGGGTTAGGGGAAAGAGTAGGAGTAACAAAAAAGAAGGGAGTTAGAAAGAAAGGCGACGTCGAATGAATCGTATCATGGCGATTAGACCGTATGGCGGTAGAAGAGGTCCTATCGAGGTCCAGGATGTGATCTGGGATGGTAAATATCCTCCAAACTGAGCAGATGGAGAAGAAAGGCCTTCGACGGACCG